CAACCCAGTCACAGTCACAGTAGCAGTCGCAGTCACAGTCACAGTTACATTTGCCACTTGCGCCCCGAGGCTATAAGCAGGATTCAATCGGCTCGCGAGCCGCCAACCCCTTCCCACTCCCTTATCATAGCACACACACACACACACACACACACACACACGCACACGCACGCACACACACACATGGGGCCACACTTGAACATTTGTCATGCCCATAATGAAGTACAGCGCAAAAGCTTTTGGGGTTGCGCTCCTTGTCGTTCACTCTCCCTATTCCAGTCAGGCAATCGCGTGTCCAGGCAGCAACACCAACAACTTCCACCCAAAGCCGCAACAACAACAACGACAGTAAAGAGGAAGAGCGAGAACAGTTTTAGTTTATTTATTTATTTATTTTGTTCCTTTTCGTTGACTCGTTACATTTTTGGTGGCAACTCTCACACAACCTCGTAAAGTGTTGTAAAATGCTCTCTGACAAGGTCCGCTGCAGTCGCAAGTGTCGAAGCACTTCCGGTTTCAGTATTGGTAAGCGCTTTGCTTTCGTTTGTTTAGGAAACAACAGAATAACTATGGTAACTGATGAAGCTATGGAGGTCAGAGTTATCTTTGGGCTTCCCAAGATTAAATACCCTTTGTTAAGCTCATGACAGATGTCAGCCAAGTTCCAATGACGCAGCAATATTGGCAGGGTATTAAAAGCATTAAAGAACCTGTTTCGATGGTGTCGACAGATCAACATAATATTCCCATTCGTAAGTGAATTGAAAACGAGACTGGAAATTCATGTCGTTATTATCTGTGTAGATCTAAGATCTAAAGATAGCAAGTCACAAAAACTTAATTGAAATAAATATGTACATGTTATTGTTCAAAGTTTTCGCCCATTTCCCGGCCGTGAAAATTTAAATCTTCAAGTTCTATCTGGAACGCTCCGCCTCAAGTTATATTTAACATAAATATTTGAAAATTATTTTTGAACATTTCCGTCTCATTTTCTGATATTTAAACTTTCGAACTTCCTTTTTTTTTCTTCGACCTGCATTTTTCACCAAAGAGTGGTGGATACTGAGAAACGTGCGGAAAACTTCCAGGCTCTAATCAGTCAGTCAATCAGCGTAAACGGTTTTATATATATAGAGATAGGGTAACTTCAATGAAAAATCTCTATTCTTACATATTGAATCCCATTTTCATATGTTTGTCAAAATGCTTGACTAAAAATTAATCAAGAATGAGAATTGTGGGCTATAAAGATTAAATAGCTTTTGAGGCTTTTATTTATACAAGGTCAATGTTGAGTTGGTCATGTCCAATTCCCAGCACATTCACATATGTATATGTATATTATGCATAATGTATATGCACCTACAAAATGTAAGCGAAATAATATTTTTTAAACGGCGTCTTCAAATTTTCTGAGCGAATCGATCTCCGAGTCTATAAGAGCTAGGGACATGAATATTTCAAATTCATTTCGTGCCGTAGATTCCCCCTTTTCCATGGAATGATACAAATTTAAATCAACCTTCTCCGTTTGTCGATCATATCTCAGTGCTTATAATCACTAGAGAGCACTTGTTTAGTATACACAGATCCAGACTCCCTTGCGCCCCTTCCTCACAACAAATTATACAAAAAATCATTCCCATATTTCTGCCTTGAAAATATTATAAGTATTAGCCCGAATACACGCGCTTTAAGAAGAAGCACAGCAGCAAAAGGCGTGTGTTTGTATGTGTTAAATGAAGCTCGAAGGTTTGTAACGGCAGGGTATACCCTAGTCGGGCACACCCACCCAACCGGATTCTGTTTGTTTTTTTATATCGTTGGCGTACATATTCATACATTTAATTACTATTCTTTAGGCATAGACATTCTAGCGAATAAAATGCAATTAAATCGGCTAATTAAAAATGTTTTTGTAATTCACGCCGATAAAAACCAAAAACAGAAAACAGAAAGAAACAAACAAATCGGCCGCGCAAACCGACGAAAATGTACAAAACCAATGAAAAATTGTTTACCGTTAAAAGCGACGCCGACAGCGACGCCGACGGCGACGAACACGTTACAAATGAGCACCAAACGAAACAATTTGTGGTGCTTAGCGTAAAAGAGAGGGTGAGGGGGAGAGAGCGAGAGCGAGGGAGAGTAAAGGGAACAGTGGGTGGCGGGGTCCAGTTTGGGGACTTGCAATTCGCACTCATCTTTAGCATTCCCAATTTTCCGTTAGTGTGGCTGCAGCTGCACAGCATAAATTCAATTACTACCAATATTTTCAAAACGTTGCCAACAACAACAGCAGCAACAACAACAACATTAACACCAACAGCAAAAACAACAACGAGCAAAACAAATTTAATTTTCATTTATCCATCGACCCTAGCTATCCATCTGTCCGACTGTCTATTTCTGTCTCTTTGTTTCTATCTCTTTCTGTCGCACATTGCTGTGTGTGATTTTTTGCACTTTTAGCTTGCGAACTGCAACTAAATGTGTTTGTATGTTTGTGTGTGTGTGTGTGTGTGTGTGTGAGTATGCGTGAGTGCGCCAAAAACAAATAAAATGTGTGCCTATGCATTACAATACAGGAGAACAGCACCCCCGCCCCCCTCCCGACCACCTTCCCAAACCCAACATCCAATTAGTGGGCAGCCCCAACTGACATCAGTCAGAGCCAGTTTCGATTCTCACTCTCATTGTTCCAATGGGCCTCGCAACGTTTGGTTTTTATGGCCTCTCGATTCTGTTGATTCTGCTGCTTTTGTTGTTGTTGCTGTCTGCATTCGGCATTGCCATTTTGTGTCTTGTTGTTGTATGCCGAACTCTTCGCTTACGCTTATCTGCCATTAAACGACGCTGCTGTCGCTGCGCTTTACTTTGCTCTGCTCTGCTCTGCTGTGCTGTGCTCTGCTTTTGCTTTAGCTTAAACATTCGTCGTTTCGATTTCGGTCGCCCGATGCCGTCGCAATTCCCGTTCCCATTCCATGTGCCCGCGCGCATCTCTCGAGTTGGAGCCCAAGGTGCAACATTGGCAACGGGCCTGGGCTTGGGCTTGGGCCAGCCAGACGCGGCGTGAAACAAATGGCTGGCACTGGCACTGGCACTCGCAAGCAAGCATATACAACAAACTCTCTCACTGACACACACACACACACAAGCGCACTTATATGTATGCGACGCTGCTGCTGCCGCTGCTTCTGCCGCAGCCGTCGCCACCTGCCGTTGGGGGCGCAGCATTTGTCGCCATTTATTTACACGATTAGAAATCGATTTTATGCGTTTGGATAATATTTCAAATGTATAAAAACACATACATACACAACAATAGGCATTGTGTGTGCGCGTGTGTGTGTTCGTGTGTATGCATTTACATGTACATAGAATGTGTGTGTGTGGACATTAAAATGATTTATGTCAAACTTATCGGAAAGAGGGTTGCGAAATCGATTTGTGCGTATGTGTTGTATGGCAACCGTTGCACACACGCCCACTTTAACCACTCCCCCCGCAGTCACATTAAGCAACGCAAAGAAATAAACAAAGCAACTAAACTAAAAACTATTTTCAATTAACATTGACTGCACAACTAATTAGCGCAGGCGCAAGCAGCGAACCGTTAATATGCACTAATGCTCAAGTACAATCAAAAGGCTTAAGACCCAAACACAAACTAAGCTCCCACTAGCCCTGCTTTACGACACGCCTAACACTCACTCACTCACACTCACTCATTCACACACACTAGCGCAAAGCTAATTGATTAATAACTCGATTCGAAAAAGCTTAGGCATACATATGTAGGTAAATGAAAAAAATACATACAACTGCTAGAAAACAACACAAAGGTAATGCGCACTCATTTCCAGTCTGAGGTGGAGTGGAAGAACTGTGAGATTGGACCATAAAAGAAACGAAAGAAAGATGGCAAAATCCAAATTCAATCCACTTGGTGGCGCGCTGCGTGTCTATTCGTCTGTCTCTTGGTCCGTCCGGCATAGGCCAAATACTATATGCCATATACCAAACAACTACAAACACCCACATTGCCAATTTATACACACACACACACACTCACACAAACAAACAAACACTCACACACACGTTTCGTGAGCAAATCTCAAATAAAAGCAAGCAGAGTCAACGACGCGTCGCAACGTCGCTGCCGTTGCCGACGCTCCTCTGCGTTGATGGATTGTAGCCCACACTAATACACACGAGCACTCACACACGCATAGCTACGGCGGACCGAGAAAAATACAATCCAGTGGAATCGTTTGGCCGGTGACTCTTTCGGCTTGTCTTGTGTTCCTTGTTCGCCCCCCCGCACCCCCTCTCTTCCTATCCATGAGTGCACGTGTGTGTGTGTCGTGTGCCACTCATGCTCATGGCGTTCAGTGTCCCCGAGACCGAGAAAAAAATAACAAAACAAAAAAATTACATACTCTGCGGAACGAAACGAAATGAAATAGAAGGCAGAACTCTGCTGCTGCTTCTGCTTTTGCTTCTGCTGCTTGCCTGCCGCCCGTTGGCTGCTGTTCTTCTTTTTTTCTTTGGTATATGTGTTTCTTCTTCTGTCATTCTTTTTTATTGTTTGCGGCGGTTGATTTGTGCGTGTGTTAAGTTAAAATTGGCTCTCACGTTTCCTTCCACCAAGGCACCAGAAGTAACCGTTCCAATCTCTCAGTTTTTGAGGTATTCTTTTTTATGTGACCCCCTTGCCCCTGCCTCTACCCCCCTTTCGAGAGAAACAGGACACTGCCAGTTCAATTCCCCTTGTGCCTGTGTGCTTTGTTTCATATGTAGTTGTTGTTTCGTGTCATTTTAATAGTTTCCCAGCAAATGATGAACCGACTCTACCCTACTCCACAAGACACCAATAAATTTGCGGGCCGGTAAAAAGTGCGAATAAGAATACAATTTGTGCGTAACACCCCACATTTTGGGGTAAAATTTGATGAGCAATGCGGCCGGGTTGCCGCCTTGTTGAAAAACTTTACCTGTGTCAAGTAAAACGCTGGTTAAAGGCCGCTGCTGCGCCGACGGCTGCTGTTGCTTATCGCTGGCCTCTCTTTGTTGCGCACTTTCGTGTTTTGTTGTTTGTCTGCGTCTGCTTGTTTCACACACATAAAATTTGGCGATTGCGTAGCTTTTGGCCTGTACGCAATTGCCAATTGATTTTCATCGCCTTTCCCTTTTGGCATACAACAATTTTATACGCTCAATTCACTTATTCTTCTTGTTTCGCGCATATATACACACATATACACATACACAAACACACGTCGATACGGAGCAATAATTTTCGCCGTGGGCGTTTTTCTTCTGCTTTGCTTTTCAAAAATTTCTTCTCATACGCCGCTGTCACAAGCAACTGTCACAAATGCAGCCGCCCCCACAATGCTAAACATGCAGCGTTTTGCGCAGGTTTCCACTACACATAGTATGTATAATTTGTAAATTAAAAATAATGCTTACAGTTGCAACAAATACTTTTCGCACTTCTCACTGCCGATATTAAAACCGCGTGTGAACCGCACGACAACCGAAACGAAAATGAACCGATGCAATGGTATAGAAAATGAAATAAAATGGAATTGAATGCGTCGGACGTCGGCAGCGCTGCCCGAAAGAGCGAGAGCAGCGAGAGTGTAGAGAGCGCGACTGAGCCGACTTTGAGCTAAACTGAACTTACCTGAGCCTTTTGTTGTTGTTTCTAAATTAAGTGTTGAGTTTATTTAACCTAATGAGCAAAAAACTCCGCTCAAAAGGCGCTCAATAACTCTCAAGACTCAATATTGTATGTATGTATGTATGGCTGTATTTGAGCACTTAATAAAACAGTGCCTGTTAGCTGTGTGAGTGGAGTACGCTTTTTGAGTACATATGTGTGTGTGACAATCTGTTGCTCTCTTTTACTCAAACGCTAGTTACATTTTAAACTGCATTGCTAATTGCGCACATTTGCCAATTTAAATAAATACTTTGGGCCCTTTTTATGAGATACAAGATACAAATTAAACTGCAAACAGTTACGATTTGTAATTTTCATCTTTTGATCGAATATTTTTACATGCTTACATGTTTTTTACATATTTAATATTTTAATTCCATTTTCATTCCACAGGTATCGAATTGGGAATATAATTTATAAATTTGATAAACATCGATTTCCAAACCTTCCGTTTCTTTCTTATGAGGCAAAAACAACTCGATTTTAATAAAATTTACCGAGTACTATTTTTATACTATGCCCAAAATTCATTAAACCAAAAATCAATCAAAATAAATTAAAAATGTTGTTATAGCTGCATTATATCCGATTAGATGAAAATAAGTTACACTCAAAACCGCTGACGTATTTCGAATACTTGAATTTTAAGTGTTGCAAAGTTGATTTATTTGTATTCTACCTTGGAAAGAAGAAGAAACAGAACATCTTGCCATACAGAAATTCATTTTCTATAGATTCTTGTGTATAAGACATGGGTAAAGTCATAAATGCCACTTTTGGTTAAGAAAGTTAAAAAAAAAAATAAGGTTTTTCATAAATGAACTTTCCGTTCAAAAGGTAGCTATATGACATAATATTTCCCGATCTGTCGGACGACAAAAACTTTGATATAATCATCGGTAATATAAGTATATACTTTATGGGGTCAGAGACGTCCAGATGTTACATATTTGATGACAAAATTATAATACCCTCTAAATGGACAAGCAAATGTTAGAGCTGTAGAGCTGCATGTCTTTCATCTAGATTACATTGTATAAGGGATAAGGCTTTCTCAATCTTAAAAAAATAATTCCAATTACATCAGTTTGGTATTAGTTTCAGGTTTAAAGTCTGTTACAGCCCAGAACAATGCCGGAGAGGATCAACACTTAAAAGTTAAAGGTGAGGGGATGCACGGCGAAGTAGCCTTTGCTCTTGGCCACCTGCGCGGACAGCCGGATCAGGTTGTTGTCGTTGTTCACGTAGTTGCCATTGAGGATCTCCATGGCCAGGCGCAGCACATCGGCGCTGCCCTGGGTGCAGATGGCGTTGGCGGTCAGCAGCTCGTGATCCGCCAGCGGCAGGCCTATGCAGTAGGAGCGGGAGGCGCGGGCGGTGCTCGCCCACATCGCATAGATCGTGCTGGAGATGTTGGCCAGCCGCTGCAGCTCACTCTGGCGCTCCACAATGGCGTTGCCGTGCCGGGTGAACATGATCTCGACGGCCATGTGAAGGCGCGCCACCGAATGCTCGATGCACTGGGCAGCCGCCTCCAGGGAGGGATGCACATGCTCGGCCAGCTGCATGCGCGTCTTGGGACTCTCCAAGCTGGCCGTGCCCAGGAACTTGCCGAATATGTGTCCGGGATGGAAGAGCGGATTGCGCGACCTGCGCACGCCCTCATTCATCCGTTGCTACACAAAGGAGAAATCAAATGGGAATTAGGCCAAAGATCGACATGATTAAAACTACTCCTGCTACTTGCTACTCACGCCGGCGTGCTGCAGGCCAGTCAGCGCGATGAACATGCTCAGCGTGCTCAAGGATTCGCCCTGCGTGCACAGCTGTGCACTGTCCCGCAGCGCCAGCTCCGCCGGCTGCCCGCTATGCAGGCTGCCGGGTCCCAGAAGACTCAGATTCTGTGTCGAAATCGCGTACAGCTGCTGCAGTGTGTAGTACTTGGTAATGGCGCTCTCGAGCGTCACATCCTGGCCGTGAAACTCGTCCAGCAAGCCGGCGGTCAAATAGAGCATGCTCTCCATGGCATATACGGAGCACACGCCCTGCGACAGGTTCACGCGCGTCAGCTCCAGATCTCTGCAAGGATATTCGAATTTAAATCTCTGTGATTGCTTAACCGGCTTGGGACTCACTTGATCTGGACGCCGCATTGGGTTGTCTCCACGCTGAAGGTTGTCAGCTGGTTGAGCAGCCGCTTGGACAATGCGATGCCCAGGAGACTGCTGCGCAGCCGGGCGAAGCGAACGAGCAGCTCCGAGTGCTGGTTGCCCTCATGGGACATGCCCAGGATCTGCTGCTCGCCCAGCTGCACCTTGTCGAAGTGGATGCGTCGCATGGGCGCCTCGCGGCAGCCGAAGGTGGCATGCAGCTCGCCCAGCCGCACGCCCGGCAGCTGGGAATCGACCAGAAAGAAGGTGGAGCCACGGCCCACGTCGCCGGGCACATTTACGCGCTGTGTCTGCGCCAGCACGAGAAACAATTGACGGGTGCCGCTGACTGGCGCCACAACCACAAACGCCTTCTCGCCAGAGAGCGACCAGGTGCCCGCGTCCGAGTCGTAGGTGGCCTGTGTGCCGAAGAAGTCGTCCTCGGGTGGCGTGTACTCGAAGATGGCATCGGTGCCTATCAGCTGGCCACTGCCCAGGGCCGTCAGGTAGCGTTGCTGCTGCTCCGGCGTGCCCAGCTCGCGCAGCATGTCCACAACAACGCGATGCGACTGCAGGCCCAGCGCCAGGCTCGTGTGTGCCGACTCCGGCTCGCTGGCCATCAGGCTGGCGCTCCAGCGGTAACCTTTGCCGTCGTAGTCTGTGGGCACGTTCAGCCCGTAGAGGCCGAGCTGTTTCAGGCTGTCCACCGATTGCGGCTGCTCCTCCGCAAAGTAATTCTTCAGCGGCAGCAGCGCGTTCTGCAAACTCGCCATCTCCTCGCGCGCTATGACCTCCGGGTAGCCGAGCAGCTCCTTGTCCGTTATTCCCACAAAGAAGTTCTTCACCAGCGGTTCACGTGCCGGCAGCCCCTGCTGCTCTGCCGGGGCCACCTCCTCCGGTGCCTGTGCATTACCCGCCCGTTGCTGGGCATGGACGCTGCTGCTGCTGCTGCTGGCGGTGGTCGCTTTGCTGCCCGCTCCGCGTGCCAACAGAAATGTTCCGTTTTTGCTGTGATTCTGATTCAATAATCTGACGGCACGCGAAAACAAATTGTAGCGCATCTTGAATTAGGTAATGTAATGTGCATGGCCAATAGAGATGGACAACCTGTATTTATATTTATGTGCGCCCTATCGCAAGTATCCGATAGTAACGACTATCGGGCTGCCATCGCTGTGACCAGATTTGGTATTTAAATACAACTAATTAATTGTTAGGTTTATTTGAAAATAAATTGATACACTCACACTCAAAGTGACAATATTTTTAGATTAAATACGTAACACAATTGTTTTTAATTATAGCATATGATATAACCAGCGCCAGAACTGAAATCACAATATTGCTCATCTCTAGATGCACTTGTGCACTTAATGGGCCATCGCAAACTATCGATAACATAGCAAAACGATAATTTTAGTGATCGGGTTTTTAACGAATTTTCAAATTGTTTCAGTTCTGCAATGTTTATCCAGCTAGCTTCTGTTATTTATTTATATTAATGAAAGCATTGAATTTTCCTTGCTTTGGCATTTCGTTCTATGCAAAGTAGCATGTTTTGCTTCTGAAAAATATTAAATATAGATTAAAAAGTTGTTTTGTCATTTTGATTAAAAACACAAAACCCTTTATTTGATTCATTTTGTATATTGGTGTTATATAATTGCTATTGACTGGGCACATTAAGCTCTCTACTTAAAACAATTGAACGAATAAAGAAAGATTTGTTTTTTAGTGTGTTGTGTATTCACTTTTGTTTATTATTATTTTTATTTTCTGCTGTTTTCGTGTTAGTTTCACTTGTTCGTGTGTGGAACTCATTTTTTTTTTTTTTTTTTTGTCATTTTGTTGTTTAATTTGTATACCAGCTAGATTGAAAATTTGTTAATAGCGGTAGTTAGTTATACATAGTTTATAGTCAGGTATCAATGGAAATAAGAGTTTAGTATTAGAATTTAACACAGACGTATGTACACACATACATACATACATATCTATAGCATATTATTGAAGTATCTATAGCATATTATTGAAGTACAGTTGTGCTTGAAAGCTGCTCGATCAAACTGCCAAGTGGGCCGAGTGGGAATAACTGTTGAATCCCGCCCCCAAATCGAAAAACTATTTACATATTTTGTTTCAAGCACTTATTGAGATGAGAACAAAAACAAACTAATTACCATGTAAATTGCATTTGTTGTAATAAACAAAAAAAAAAGAAACAAACAAACAAACAAAATTGTTTAATTGTATTTAACTAAAGCCCTATGTTATAGAAATACCTCATCGGGCAGCTCATATCGTATCACAGGCACGCTTTCAAAAACACGCAAAACCCACAAAAAAAGAGAAAAACTAAAGAGAAATTCAAAAAGAAAAGAACTCGGGCAATTCACAAAGAATTCAATTGAAATTTGATTGGAAAACTAGACTGAAAATCGCACACTAAACGCTAACAACAACGATCGATATGAGCTGGCCAACACACACACACTCATCCACACACACACACACACACACACGCACAGCCGCAGGCACAACATGCCAAAAATCTGATTTCACTTTGAATTTTCCTTTGAACACATTTAATCGATTGCATTTCTAAGCTCTACATACGCATTTATAAAGGAATATGCATATGAAAACTTATTCGTCAGTTAAGCTGGGAAAACTCGTTCAAGGTTGAGGATCTAAGCTAGGAAAACTCTTTCAAGTCTAAAGATATGATAACTTGTTCTCTGCGATAATAAGAAAATTAGCAGGGCTTCTCCATTCTGAAAGAGACTAGATCTAGCTCAGAATTCGATTGGGTTCCCTCTCCTTACAGCTCACTGATTGACTGATTGACTGATTGACCCTCGCTGGTAACTGGCTGCTGTGCTGCTAGCTCTGATTGCTCTCTCTGAATACATTCACATTCACATTCACATTTACTCACTCAGACACTCAGTTATTCACTCGCACTCGTTTTTATATACTCGTATTGCATATGATTTGTTGTAACTACATCTTAGTATTGCTATGCGTAGCTGCTGGCCGTGCGCCAGCTGCCCATAATAATGTGAATCCTCAGGGATTCAGTGTAAATTGAGATATTTGCTTGTTTTTTTCTTGTGGTTGTTGGCCCCTTCAAAAAGCGAGAGAAATAGAGAGAGAGAGCGAGAGCGAGAGAGAGTAGAGGCATTAGTTGTTTATGTTGCATATCGCAATGTTCTTTCTGCTTAGCTTTAAACACAATTTTCAAAAATTCAAACTAGAGGCCTTAAACTGACTTAAACAGAGTTGTGGTGGGGGGGTGGGCGTGGTTCTAGTTATAGGGGGCTTAGAGTAACTAATAAAGCAGTATTTAGTCGGAAATTTGTCTCGATTCCCGCCGTTAAGGTTGTCCAGAGAAGTGCCCAATTTTCGATGCTCTACAGTTGATATTTGGGGCATTGCTGCCAGAGTTGCCAGCGCGCCTGCAGCTGCTTCCACAGGCGCCGCACAAAGTTGCCGCCGCAATTGTTTCCGCTTCCGTTTCCGTTGCCATTCTCGTTTCCGTTGACACATGCCACGCCCAGGGCGCTCAGCAACTACTAAATCTTGCCGGGACTCTCCTGGCGCGCACTGTACCTGGGCTCCGTCGGCATCAGCGTGTCCGTCACCAGCTCATTGGGCGCCTCGACCATGCCCTTGGCGTGCGCCGCCGCCGTATCGCAGTCCGTCCGCCTGGAGATCAGCAGACGAATGTCCGTGTGCAGCGAAAGGCGGCCGGAACGCGACGTCTGGAACCTGCAGAGCACAAAAATCAAAGAGTTAAAAAACATTTGACTACAAATTAAAGCAAAGCTAAGCTCGACAATGATGCAATGATTCCTGCCCAGCTGTCAGTTTCGCCTGGTTCAGATTTTGGCTTGGTTAGAACTTTGATTTTACAAATTTTAATTGCCCGAACTATTGAGAATATTGGAATACAATTTTTTAAACAGTGTAAGATACTTTATCTTGTATCTTTTGTGAGCTCAAAAGTTATATTATTCGAGCTTGATTTGCTTTTAGAAAACAATTCAATCCTAGCTCAACACACTCAATGGAAGATCAGATGAAATTATTGGAATAGTAACGCCACTTGAAAGAGGTATGAAGTATTTATACTTTCAAGCGTTTCCCTTTTCTTCCCCATAGCTAACCCATCAGGTTTACTGACCTCAGGTGTATGGAGTAGCGCAGTCGCTTCATCTGCTCGGCGCTGATAAAGTGGCCCAATTTGCTGGTGGTGCTGGTTGCTGTTGGGCTGCCCGGCTCCCGTTCGCGATGTTGTTGCTGTTGCTGCTGCTTGGGCTGCATGATGATGATGCCGCCGCAGGGACTGGCGCCGGGCAGCTCCTCGGCGAGGATGCGCTGACGTATGAAGGTGCGATGCAGTGGCGGCATGTCGCGCATGTCGTAGGGAATGACAAACATGCGCACCACGGTGCCCATGGGATTGAGGAGCGTCGCCTGCACAGTGCCCGATCGCGGCACAAAGTAACCCTTGCGGGGCAATCGAATCTCGCACTGCAATTAGGCCAAAGAGAGAGATTAGTTGTTTAGGTGGATCATGGAAAGCAGCAGCAGCGAGTGCTGGGTAGGATACGCACCAGGTAGGGCGTGCTGAGCGTCTCGCCGTGCAGCTCGTAGAAGTACGAGGAGGCCGGAATGGTCAGCTGTGTGGGACAGAAGCCACCCGAGGCGCCCAGCTGCAGGCGAAAGCCGGCGACTTCGATCTTGGGCAGCAAACGCTTCTGCAGCAGCGACTCCTCCAGGTTGCCCAGCAGCGGTCGCCCCCCGAACTGTGTCGCCAGACGCGCTCGCGTCTTCAGCGGTGAACCCGCCGGACTGCACATGCCCGACTCGAGATCCTCGTCCGACAGCTGCTCATCGGAGCCCAGCGAGCTGCGATCCGACCGATCGCTCAGATGTCGCGAGCGACGCTTGTAGAACGCCGCCTGCTTGGCGAACCGCGGCGACACCGACAGCGCATTGGGCAGCGTCGGGGCCGAGTACGACTTCTGCACGGGCAGATTGGCCGCTTCCGGCGGTGTCAGCAGCGACTGCGACTGCGACTGGGAGTGGGCATAGCTCAGAGCCGGCGGCTCAAAGCAAAAGGCCAGCCCGCTGTCAATGGTAATGGGCGCCGAGCTGCTGCAGAAGATCGTCGTCAAATTGACCTTGGGCAGCGCCTTGCGCAAGAGTGGCGAAAGCATTGGCGGCGGCGTCTCCCTGTCCAGCAGCCCGCCGGTGCAATTCAGACGCAGCTGATTGGGCGCCTTTGTCGGTTGCCCCGTCAACGGCAGCTGCTGCTGATGCTGCGCCAGCGACTGCGCCTGGAACTCCTGCAGCTTGAGTGGCACATGACTGATAGGCGTCTTGAACTGCACCACAATGCGCTCGTCCATGGCACAGCCAGCCACATCCGTTGGCGTCTGGCAGCGTTCCTGGCCTGCGTTCAGCGAGCAGCGATCGATGTTCGGCGTCAGCTTGGTCGAGGCGCTCTACGGGAATGAGATTGAGAAAAGGTTAGTAAAGCGAGGACATGAATTGTGCTGCATCTGTTTACCACTTCCACCTCCTGATCCATGCTGTTGTCCGCGCCCTCGCCCTCGTTATCCCCATTGCTGTGCCCGTTCGTCCCGTTCGTCCCGTTCGCCAGCAACTCCGCCTTCTTTGGACTCGCTTTGCCAGCGCCGAAATTGTGCTGCGTCTTCTGGCGCTTGCACACCTGACACCCGCTCGTTGGCGCTGGCTTCAGCTGGTTGTTGTTCTGGCTCCGACTCTGGCCCTGCACTAGACCAGCTTTGAGATCGTTAGACGCTGCTCCGGCTGCTGCTCCGGCTGCTGCTGCGGCGGCTGCTTTTGGTGTGGGCTTTCGGTTCTTTGGCGTGCGCTGTATGGCCTGGAGCAGCAGCTCGGCCTTGTTCCGCGGCGTGCCCACAATGAGATCGGAGCTGCTTAGGCTGCAGCTGGACGAGTCCTCCATTTCGGAGGCACTTGTGTCGTCGCCGTCGTCGTCATTATCATCGTTGCCATTCCTCGGCTCGGCATCGTCTGCGCTGCAATTGAGGCAGAGCAGGGTCTTCTCGCTGCCGCACTGCTGGCAGCTGCTCAGCGAGGTCTGCGTGCCCGTCGAGATCATCGCGATGCGACGCGGCGCCGTCAGCGTCAGGACCATTGCCTGCGCTTGCGTCTCCTCGCTGCCCTCGTCCATGGGCTCCATGTGCTCCAGCTGGTCCGAGGGCTTACGCTCGCGCTTCTTGTCCCGCCGCTGCATACGCTTGCGATACTTTTGCAGCTGCCTCTCCCGATGGCCGTCCAGGTCATCGCGAGCTCCGTCCTCCTCCGCCGCAGCCGCCGCCGCTGCTGCCTCAGCTTCCCGCTCCTGCTGGTGCCTGGCCCCAAACTTATCACAGCTGCTTGCCGGCGGCGTTGTGCTGATGGCAATCCGTGCACCCAGCCCGGTAGGCGTGGCCGCGCACATACCACCGCCGCCTGTGGGCGTGCTGGCCGCCGGCTCGGCGCGCTGTGCTCGCGGCTTGGACACCGCCGGCGAAACGTGCGGCAGTCCGCCGTTAAAGCGCGGAAGACTCTTGACGCAGACCGCCACGCTGAAGTTCTCGGCAATGTTCACGTGCGGAAAGTTGTGCACGTTCGCCTTGGCACTGAAGCCGCCGTCGTTGTGGTTGCCATTCGCGCTGCTCAGGTCATGCGGCCGGATCCTGTAGAAGATGTTGAGTCGCGGCCGACGCGCCCCAGCCGCAGCCGAGCTCGTCGAGGCACTGTGCCCGGCCAGATCTCCGGCCGTGCTGCTGCTGCTGCCGCCGTTGGCAAAGATGACGCGCCCGCTGTCATAGACCGAGGGATCGCACTTGCGCAGCAGATCGCACCAGGCCACGATTTGCGAAAAGTAAAGCTGGCTGCGAATCGCGCTGCACAGCGACGGCAACGTCATCGTCGGCGGCGGCACCCTGCGGGAATGGCAAACAAAAGAGTTGAGCATTAGTAACTGGGCTTAAGGCACAAAAGCAAGTTATGGAAATCAAATGAAACCGAATTTAAAAATGCTTTGATCTCTAAACACATCAAGAGCGCCGCGAAGTCCGGGACTAGGAATAGGACTAGGATTGGGATTTCAGTTAAAGTTTTTATCATCCTGGCGAGACGAGGGATCAAACGGAACATAATTCAAATCTCTATTATGAGATTTCTACACAATGCACATATATGTTATAGATAAATATAAAATATATATGATATATTGAAAATGGTTCGACCAGACGGACTGAGTGACTGACAGATTGTTTGATTGACGGACTGATTAGTAATTAATGTCAGCTCCTAAGCTGTAGTTTTTACTGTAGCTAAAATCTGTCATTTAATAAAACACAACATCATCAAATAATTAATTTATGTTAAATGGGTAGATTGGTGAAAGTCCACCGAAGTGGCGAAAAATGTACGAAAAACGCTTTTAAAATTTTCATTTGAAGCCATTTGAACTATTTCAGTATTTTAATAGATATTAGAAACATGATTAGCTGCTGCGGGAAATACCTTGGGTAAGTGTTAAGGTAGTACGATAAAATTTTAGTTTCGAGTAGAGTAATAACGTCTGGGATTTGGAGATAGAACTCGGCTTATGCAAAGTTGGATAAGTAAGAAATAAAAGTGCTTTCCATTAGAAAGTGCTCGACTTGGAGCTACGTTATACTTCGGTCTGATTCTTACAAGACTTTCGTGATTAAACTTAGAAGCTTTGTCGTTAAAGTAGAATCACAAATGAATAATGAATCTAACGTTAAGTAAATTTATGCCAAAGGAAACCCATTTGCGAAACCCTTCTAGCTTTTATAGTATACGACGCGGCTCTTGATGCTGGTCAACAAAATATATAAATACTTTTTTAGGATCGAAAATGCGTCCATCTGTGTTTGATTGGAGTGCGGATCTGCGCTTAGGCGCCACATGGATGCATGCAACTGATGTGTACGGAAATGTGGCATTGATTCAGGCAGATCGGAACGCTGCATCATAAAGTTGTCACGAATAGTTGTTAAGGATTCTTTGAAAATTGAGTTATTGCATGAGATGCTGTAGTTCGCATGGATTTGTATCTTTACAAATGCAATCTGCGATTTTGAAGATCGTTTCAATATGAACTACAGCCTAATATGAGCATAGAAAAGAAGTTTGTTGAACGGAATCGAACTTACTTCTCCTTGCCGCTGATGATCCACTGCTCCAGCAGAATCTTGTGGCCGGCGGGGCCCAGATACACCTCGATGCAGACGGGCTCCCGGCGCGCCAAGATCGCCTCCATCTTCATGCAATGGGCACGCCAGCGGGAACACTGCAAAACATTAGATTTGATTAGATATTGGATATGGATCTGCATCCACCTGGATTACTCACGGTTATATTTACGTAAGACATATCACAGAAATGCTCCTCAGCTTCGGCAGACTCGCCCTTGGCGAGGCCCATCTTTCTGAGGAACTGATCACAGTGTGGCCCGTGTTTGGGCCGCGTGGTGCAGCTGGAGCTGGTTCCGTTTCCGCATCCGGCTCCAGCTGCGTTGTTGCTGGCAGTGGCTGTTGATGTGGCTGCTGCACCTCCTACTCCTACTCCTACTCCAACTCCTAATCCTCCTCCTCCTCCCAGCCCGTATCCTACTTCTCCCCCGGCTGCTCCGCTGCCGCCAGGCGTTGTCCGGCCGCAGTTGTAGTCCAGCAGACTGGCGGCACTCACTGTTGTCGCTGTTGATGTGGGCGAGCCAAAGCCGAGGGCCAGGCTCAGGGGTCGCGCCTCGGTGCTCACAGCAGGTCCGCCGCGCAGACAGGTCGTCGCTAGCGATTGCAGCGAATGCAAAATATTATCCGAGCCGGAGCCGGGTGAACTGGCAGCACTCGAGTTATTTGTGGCTAGCTGCTCTCCAGATGCTCCCCCTACTCCTCCTCCTCCTAAACCGCCTCCTCCTCCTAAACCGCCTCCGCCCCCTCCGCCGCCGCCGCCGCCACCTCCTCCAGCACGATTCAACATGACGCGACGCACAATCTCAAAATCACCCCGATCCGCATTCAGCTCATTGATGGCCAGTGCCACAAGCTCCGGCTCGGCACTCATAGTCTGCGCCGCCGGAGAGACCTGCCGCAGCTGGCAGAGCTTCTGCGTCCAACGTTGATGCGTGGCGCTGCTGCTGCTGCTGCTGCTGGCACTGGCGCTTGCACTGGCACTGGCTCCATAACCATATCCCTGTCCATGTCCCTGACCATGTCCATATGCCAGCCCGTATCCGTGAGCATGGGTATAGGCGGAACGGGGCGTGCCACTGGCCATGGCTGCATAGGGATTCGTTGTAATGTTGATGGCTGCCCGCGATGTGGAGGGGCGTGGCGAGAGGCGCCCGCTGCTTGACGGTGGCGTCATCTGTTGCTGTCGCTGCTGAAGCGGATGCGGCTGCGGCTGCTGCTGCGGCTGGTACTCATCGTCGGATATGGGCCTGCCCTCCAGTATAAGCGAGGCCAGGCCCAGCACAATCGAGTTGTAGTTGCTCTGCTGCGCTGCCGCCGTCGATGCTGCGACCGTCGCTGCTGCGGCAGCTGCTGCTGCTGCAGTCGCGCCAACAGCAGCTGCTCCATTCTGTGCCAAGCCAGCGGCTGGCGGCGAGTTGGTGACGCTTGTGGGTATCATGTGCTCCTCCTCCTCAGACTCCTCTCCTCTGCTCTCCTCTCAACTGAATTCTCACGGCGTATACTTCTGCTACTGATCCTCTTCCCCCTTCTTTTAGATGTGGTTGTCGTCCTCTCGCACCTGCACCAGAAGTACACTGTAGATCAGGAAGAAGAAAAAGAAACATGTGTGTGATTAGCGAGCGGGAAAAGCTTTCAATTGAATCGTATAGCATGCAGCCTAAACCATGACTTTGTGTTTTCCATGTCCTTTGGTTGTGCAAGGTCGTCGGGCAATGTACATATGTACATATATGTCTCCTATCAAGAGGCGCAAGGTTTGCTCCCATTAAGAATCGATATAGCCTTGCATCTGCCTGCATTTTAAAGTCTTTTTTGTATGCATGTGTATCTATGTACACATATATCTATGTACACACAAGAAATATTACACGAAATGACATTGGATAAATGCAGCTTGAATGTCACCGACTATTGATGGAAACTAGGTCACCTGCACCTGAGGCACCCTGTGTGTCAAAATTGAATTATGCTGTGAAGGTCCTCAGTATATATGTACATATATACCATCATATGTGCACACACTTTACATAAGCTAATGGAATTTACTTTGGCCCAGATCCTGCGTTCTATAGACGGTTCTCTTTTGGCGGCGACACACTAACACGGCCTCAATGTGGCCCCAAAAAAGCAGGCAACCAGGTCGTTACTTAATCAGGCAGCTGTTGCCATGTCAGAGCACAGAACAGAACAGAGCGCTAACGACTGAGAGGAGGAGAGAGGCAGAGGAGGGGAGGCAATGCAATTGTGAATGCAGCTTTTCAACACATGTTGCTAACGCTATGACGTCATTTGGCAGTAGAAGTCAGGCTTAATGCGCAACATGCAGTTTTTTTCTTCTAATAAACAATTTGCAACGTTTCGAAGGTCAAGCATCAGATGAGGGGGCCACTAAAAAACTGCTCAAGTCGCGCTTGGCAACAATTCTCAGGCACACAGCGAAACAGCTGTTCGTATTTGTGTTTAATTTTTTTAGGCATGTGTTGCCCAACGTTGGCAACATGTTGCCAAAACCAACACAAATGTCAGAGAGCACGAACGCGCTCCCTCTCTTTCGCTCTCGCATTCTCTGTCTGTCTCAGTCAACTGGTAAACATGTTTGTCTTTACTTTTGCTTTTGTTTTTTGCGTTTCTTCTTGACCTGCATACACGATATATAACTAGCGCGCGAGACGAGGCCTATCTGTCTGTGTATTGGTGTATAAACATATACAGAAAGAGAGAGGAAGAGAGGTGAGTATATGCCGAGTGTGTGAGTGTATATGTGCGAGCGCTATTAGAAAACATATGATTTTTGTGTTGGCTGCTCACAATCAGTTGGCAATGTTTGCTCACATGTATTTGAGCGTGCATGTGTGCGTAAGTAGTTTTGTTTATGGTCGCTCGCGCACATTTACATACATATACACTTGGCCCACAATAGACACGCATTCACATACACACAGCAACAACTACCCGTACGAAAATGAGGGCAAGCGAATGGAACGTAACAGTCCAAACAGCAATAACCGCAACAGTAGCAGCCGTGGAGTTTAATAATATTTGATTACATTATCGCTGTTTCGCTTTTTTTTTATTTTCGTATAAATTATGTTTTCTTTTATTTATATTTTATGTACAATAAATATGTATGCATATACAATAAATGTGTATGTGATTGGGAACCAGGAAAACGGCAGATATAAATCATTTAGAGATATGACGCAGTTGAAATGCTCTACAAATCGTAGCGGAACGTAACAAAACTGAACGTGGCAATTTGTAAAGGGAAGCATGGGTGAGTGGGAGGGAGACAGAGAGAGAGAGAGTATGGATGTGCTGCTAGCTGAGTGCGAGTGTTAACTGAACGGTATTTTGGCAGACCGCAACATACTTGATCAATTGCACTTTTTGTTTTCATTGTGAACTAATTAAATTTCGCTTTGGTCGCCGTCCTTGGCATGCTTTTGATTTTGCAATAATCGTGTGTGTGTGTGTGTGTCAATGTATATATGGTTGTATGTGTGTGTGTGTTTCTCTATGTGTGTTCTTTAGTTTTGCTGAGTGCGTTCTGTTTATTCATTGCACATTTTTTGAGGCGTGTTGCAAAATTTGCATTTATGTATTTGATTGAGATGTGTGTGTGTGTGTGTGTGTGTGTGCCGTTATGCAAATTGCGGAAAGGAAGAAAACAAAGCAAAACGTTGTAGCAACAGTGAAAGGTAAACTATGTACACATGCATACACGTGCATACATATACATTAATGCTAGCTAATGTCGCCGCTAGATGGCGCTGCAGCCAACAGCCAACAAAAACCAGTTCACAATTGTATATTTGAAAAGCAAAAAGTGTTGCAACTTTGAAAAACAAGTTCCGACGCTGTCGTCGCCTTTCGCTTAGTTGCTGCGCCCCGCGCTGTTTCCTTTGCATTTGGCTGCCATTTGATTATGAAATGCGCCAAAGCCAACGGATGGACCGTAGTACCGCTGCTGACGTCGGCGAGTGCAGCGAAAAGCGCCAACGATATGGAAAAGTTTTCAAGCATGTCATCCATTTAGTCTGTTTAGTCACCCCGCCAAATGCGTCATGACATCCATATACACACATATGTATGCATACATATGCATGCATGTACACACGATTATAAAGTTAACAGGTAAGTTTATATATTCAAGAACTCTTGCATTTAATTGTCACTTCATTTTGCAAAAATGTGTCATATAAGGCGGAAGTGGCTCACAAACGACAACAGCGCATCGCAACGTAATTAAGACAAGTCGGCCGGCCATATATCGCGTGATATATCACACAATGTATGTGCATATATCGTAGATGCATGCATATGTATACAGATATCTATAGCTATCTATCTCTGTTATATTCACTCATATTGAAAGCCATTTTACACGCGCTGGCCAATAATTATACAGGCATGTACATGTATGTACACACATACATACATACACACACACAGACATATTTATGTACCGCGCAGATGACTTTGATTAGACAATAGATCTTTTCAAATCGCTGTTGACCTCGTTGTCGACCTTACAAAGTACCCATCTATCTATCTATCTATCTATCTATGTACATATATGTATGTACATGTGTATCTATGGGGGTGGGGGTACACGTGGGGCCACAACCCCCTTTGCCGCCTTTTGGCGTTTCACAGCTGAGCGACCGTTGCGTTTCAGTGGGCTAGTCAAAGGGGCGCACCTTCGAGTTTGAGTTCGCTTTGAAGTGCAATACATAAACAACCTCTATGTACATACATACACACATACATATGTATGTACATATACACATACATGCCTATGAACATATCATAGGCAAGACAGCGACTCAAGGTTTTTAAATCATAAAATAAAACAAAGAAACGGAAAGAAAACTTAAAAATGTAAATGGTCATGATCGACTAACAGTTGCCACGCAAAAATCATTAATTAAAAAGCTGTTTTTTAAAATATATTTTTCGCAGAACTACATCTGTCATCTGTTCGTTTAATTGTTTAATTGTCCCGTTCCTAAAGATAATTGTCTCTACTAATTGCAATTACAATTCAACATTCATTTTTATCTAACTCCAAGTTTCTGCATTCAATACAAAATCAGCATCACTTACCTTTTCGTAACTTTGTTAAAATTCCATTATTTTTGCTTTGTGGGCTGCAATTAGATTGGGAGAATAAATGTGTGTTATTCATTTAATTAATTTTATTATTTATTTAATTGCGGGTATAGAAAACTACATATTTATATATTGCTGAATAAACATATACACTAGCACATAACGTGGCATTGTTCAGATAGCGCTATTATCTGTGCCCATTGAATGGGGAATAAATTAATTTTGGTAGCTAAGCACAAATGTTAGATTGCCACGCTGAGAGACACCCTGTTTCTTACACAATGCTCAACAAAGAGTTACATGGTTTCGCGCTCTCTCTTACACAATTACTCTCCCTTGCACACACACACACACACTAACACAGAGCGTCGCTCACATGTGAGCAGTAAATGGAAAAAGCAAAAAAAAAACCACACGCTTAAATTGTAAACAAATACAAGGCAGCAGCAGCAGCAGCAGCAGCAGCAGCAGCAGCAGCGGTTGCGTTAACTTTTGCTCTTGCTTCGGCTCTTCCTCTTTGCCTGTAACGTGAGCACGTGAGCACATCTCGCTTCAACGAATGGGAGGGGGCCGTCTCCAGGAGAGAGGTGAACGGTGACAGGACAACAAGACGCAATGACTTACAAGTGTGCGTGAGTGTGTGTGAGTTTGTGTGCATGTGTGTTGGCGGCGGCAGTGCGTTTTATTTTTAGCCAAAAATACAAAATGCTGCCGCTTTGCAAATCGAGAGCAAACGCACATTCACACTCAGAACTGTGAGTTGACGCAACGTGTCGAGGAGCAGGAGGAGCAAAAGCAAATGACCGCTCGACCGAGCCAAGTGGACGGGAAGCAAAGCAGAGCCAATGCCTCCTGCGCATTGCCTGATTTTATTTTTACTTGTTTTTCTTTCGCTTTCTTACTATATTTGATTATGGAATACGAATACCAACAACTTTTTCATTCGTTTTTGCCATTCTGCGTCACACACACACACACACGCACACATTCTCAGCTCTCTGCTCATTTACATTACAAACTGCGCACGTATAAAATTACACGCGATGCGACGCATTTTTTTTTTTTTGGTTTATCGCTCTTTCTTTGGCTTTTACAGTTTTACATTGCCCCAATCAAGCAACCAAATGAATAAGGTACAAAATTGGCCCCAAACAGCAACAAAATGAAAGCAAACAAATTAAGCATATCTATATGTACATAATATATACTCTATGCATGCATATATTGGTCTGTGTGTGTGTGTATATAAGATAACAACAGCTGTTTGCTATCTGTTTTGTTTTGTGTTTTCATTTCGAGGCTGGCTCTCATTTGATTGTCCATTTTTGGGCATTGTCTTATCTATAAAGCAGAAGCGTACATGCACACGTATGCACATACAGACATATTAGGAGAAAGCTGTAATGAATCTAATTGGCATATAAAATTGAAGTGCAACTGTAAATTGTTGCTCGACCTCATG